AAAATTCTAACTATTAGGGTTTTTTTTGTTTTTTGTTTGTCTGCATTATTGAAATGAATGAGCATGATCTGTTTTTAATAGAATTCAGCTGGGAGAGAACAACTGTTACAGAATGACATGAAAGCAGAGACAGTTTCAGTGATCAAATATTTGGGGAGAAATGTAGCTAGGTGAGATGTTTCTTGTAGGACTGAACCACATTTATGTTCTAATGAGTACCTAATAAATGTATGTAGAGATCCTGGAATCTGAGCACTATGGTCTACTCCAAGAGCATTTGGGTAGGAATATAAGGCAGGGGAAGCAACAGTCAATGTTTGTGGTATATGCTCTTGATCACCAAAGATCTGGACTAGATTACAGAACTTTCTGAGAAGACAGACATAGTAACAATGGAAGACTTTTGAAAAACCAATTCAGCCAAGACAGCAAGGTCCCAAAAATTCTTTAGTGGTCTTGCTGATTATTTCCTTTTCCAGAAGGTTAAAGAAGAAAAAAGGAGATTGGCTATCCTAGATCTGATCCTATCCAATAGGGAACAGCTGAACAGCAGTGGAAAGTGGAAACTTTGGGACTATGGTATCTTAGGTTCAAGATTCTACTGAAACAAACATGGGAGCATAGTCATGCATTCACATTAGACTTCAGGAGAGCCAATTTCAACAAGCTTAGAGAAATATTAGAATTCCATGAACATAAATCTTTGGATCTATAGGAGTACAGGAGGGTTGGGTACTTCTCAAAAATTAGACATGGGTAATATAATTGTGCACCAGTTGAGGAAGAAGGAACAAAGAAGGGGGATTTAGGAAATCAAGAGTTCCTAATTTAGAAAAATGCAGTTTTTCATTTGGGTGGGAAAAACAGGAAAAATCAAAGGCATGAGGCAGTATTGGGTAGCTGTAAATGCAAAAAAGATCTGGATGTCTTGGTAAATCATAAACTGAGCATGAGTCAAAAGTATGATGTAGCTAAAAAAAAACCCAAACACAGTTCTAAGCTGCATCAACAGAAGTATAATATCAAGATCAAGAAAAGTAATTTCTTTCTAGTCTGTATTGGGTCAGACTGTTTCTAGAATATTGCATCCAATTCTGGACAGTGCATTTTAGGAAGGACATTGACCAACTGGAGTGTTAGAGGAGAGAAATTCAGATGATAAGGATCTGGAAAGACTTATGAGGAATAGCTGGAAGCATTTGTTATTTTTACCTTGGGGGAAAAAAAAGACTTGAAGGGCTGTCTTGTAGAAGGCAGGATACTCTTCTTCAGTGTTGTTCCAGATGACAAGAAGGACAAACAGTGAGTTTAAATTACAAGGAAATAGGTTTTGATTGGACATCAGGAAGAATTTTCTAGTGGTAAAACCATTCATCAGTGGAGCCCCCTGCCTCAGGAATGGACTCTGTTTTATGGAAGTATTTAAACAGAGATTAGATTCAGAGGCATCCATAGGAGGGGTGCAAAGAATGGAATAATTTTTGTGCCACTGTAACATAAGTTGCACCCCTTTTGACATGTGTCATGATGTTTCATACACATACATAAGGGATGAAGCTTGCATCACAACACTAATTTTTATTTATACATCTCTGTTATACATCTGTTATATATAAAGTTATACATCTCTGCCCATGATTGGTTAAACGATCCTGCAACTGCCCTTTCTCAGTGCCTGGAGGCTGTTGAGGTCTGGATGGGGAGCAACAGGTTGAAGCTGAACCCTAGCAAGATGGAGTGGCTTTGGATCTAGGGCTCCTTGGTTCTTGGAGAATTACCACCTTTGGTCATGGATGGTTTGGCACTGCCCCAGATGGACCCAGTGCACAGTGTGGGGATTGTCCTGGACCCATGACTCCTGCTCAAGGAGCAGGTGGCAGTCGTGGCCAGGAGCGCCTTTGCACAACTACGAGTTGTGTGTCAGTTGCGCCCATTCCATTTCAGGTGTGCCCTTCTCACAGTAACCCACGCCCTAGTCACTTCCTGCTTGGACTATTATAACACATTCTACATGGGGCTACCCTGGAAGAGTATTTGGAAACTTTAGTTGGTTCAAAATGCAATGGCCCACATACAGTAGTTCTGCGCAAGTCCAGATTTGCACATGTGTCACCTCTTTTGCGGGAGCAGCATTGGTTGCCGATCTGCTTCTGGGTCCAATTCAGGGTGCTGGTTATCACCTTTAAAGCCCTTCATGGCTTGGGGCCTGGTTATTTGAAGGGCTGCCTTTCTTCAGTTACATCTACCCGGCCCACCAGAGCAGGGAAGTTGGGTATGTTGCGGGTCCCAGCATTGAGGGAAGTACATCTAATGGGATCATGAAGAACGGTCTTTTCCATGGTGGCCCCTTCCCTGTGGAATGTTATTCCCTCTGAATTAAGATTGGCCCCCACCTTGATGTTGTTCTAGAAGGCCCTGAAGGTGTGGTTTTGCCGGCAGGCCTGGGGACCCCAAGCTGAAAAGGAGCCGCTCAAGTGGTTCTGTTGATTGTGTTTTTGGCTGCCACAAGGGATGGGTGTTGATGGGTTTTTGTATTGGGGATTTTACTTCGTAAGCCGCCTGGAGTCACTGTGTGTGAGCTGGGCAGCCATATAAATGTGTTAAATAATTTTTTTTTTTTTTTTCATTCTGATGAGACTGTAGGATTCTGCAGATGTCTCTGGCTGGGTTGCCATCTGACAGGGATTCTGTAGTAATGAATTTTTGCACTAGTAGGGGTTTGGACTAGTTGATTTCCAAGAATATTTTATAATTCTATGAAACTGAACCAAAATGGAAATGGAATTTAGATGCTCTGTTTTAGGGACAGGTCACTTAAAAAAACCTTATACAACCCTTCCTTTCTATTCTCAAGATCAGGGACACCTAGATGGTCTTCTGTATTTAATGGGGATCACTTGCAATGTTCTGTTCTATCACTGCAATTCTGGAATAAGAGATTACATATTAAATCAATTTGTGTGTAAATCATTGATACCCCAAGCATAAATTCTTGCTATCTTGAAATGGATTGTTTGCCTCATGTGTTGACCTTTCTGGATCTTTTTGCATTCAAAAGGCCCAGACTTCATAGATGTTTTTACAAGGTATTGTTTAAAGGAAAATTGTATCTTCAAATTACTCTAATTTGGCATCCCTGATTCTACATGGGTTAAAATGTTAGTGAGTTGAAGAACTGAGGAAATTTGGTTATTATATTTTAGTTGCAAGGTATAAGTTGCTTTCAGGTGGAAACCATTTCAATTTCTTCCCTCAGTAACATCCAGAAGATATTCCATTCATTAAAGCCCAAGACACATGGCAGCTGATGTTCTTGCTGCTTAATCTTCATTAACAAGTTATTTTAACCAAACTTCCTTCCTACAACAACTTAAAACTGATTTCTTGGAACTATCTTGCAGATAAATTCTTTAGGTGGCTAATAAAATTACATTAAAATAACATTTCAGTCTATTCCTTGTCATTGGTACTTTTAATCCTGGGCATGTATGTGCCCCACTTTTGCCTTTATATCCAAGGGCTCATGCTGGCAAGAATGCCAGGAATTATCTTAGTAGTATAATTGGCTGACAATTTTCCCCATTCTATTTATCTTTTGGATATAACATTTTGTTACATTTCTTTTCTTGGAAAGCTCGCTCTTAAAAGGTACACATTTTGCTTGTGAATTTGGACCACCAACTCTGTGTTCCCTTGTCACAGTGGAATTAAATAATGGCTTGGTAGAGTCAGACAAGAATTTAATTTTTCCATATATGTCTCAGAAGGAAAACTGGGTTCACCTCTATAATTTGCTCTTAAATTTGTCAGCTGATTAAATGACTGTTTTGATTCTACTGCCTGACATTTTTTTCCCAATAGAAAAAAACACCTGTTATAAATTCAAAACTAAGCTACATCTCTTCACCTTCACCCTTCTGGGATTATGTCATCTGGATATTGGTAGGATGCTGCCACGAATCCATATGTGTGTATGCACACCTACCCAATACGTGTGTGTACACATTATAAATAATTGGGGCAGGCTTAAACAGAAGGATCTGAATTTCTAACTCTCAAGAAAGGTATATGTATATGTGGATGTCTAAAGGAAGAAACTTAACAGTTGTTTTTCTTTTCCTGCAAACATGTTGTCTAACTCCACATTTGCTGAGATGCTGGGGATGGAGGAGCAGGTTTAAAGGTAGAAAGTAGGTCTGATTTGCTTCATCCTTCGTGTCTCCTTCACTTTCTTCCTGCAAAAGCCTCTTCTGCCCCACCCCTTTTCTCAAGCAGGCTCACTTCCAATATCATAATCTAGTGGAGAAAAAATACTTCTTAAAAAATCAAGTGTCAACATTGACGGGAGATTTGGTAGGTAAGTGAAAGGATAAGCCTCTTTCTCCACACCCATCAATTCTTCCTTGAGAATATCAGCCCTCCCACTGGCTGTCACTATAACCCAACCTTATGCCCTCCAGATGTGTTGGACACTATTCCAGATAATCTTCAAAACAGAAGCTTGATCCAATAGCTCCATTTATTCCTTAATAGGGAATGCGTTAGATATTATTCAAAGCTCTTTTGACCCAGTTGTAATGATAGGGCATATTATTGTGCATTCTTCTCCCTATACCTGTCTTAGAAAAATCCAGGCATTCATTCAGAGTAGAAGTGAAATATATTTATACTTTTATAATAACTATATTATAAATAACTATAAAACATTGATTAATTGAATTAACAAAACATTTTACCCTATTAAAAGCCTTAACTTTTCAGAGGTTTGGATTTGAGTCTAAGTGATTTATTCAGATTTTATATTTAAGCCAAGGAGTTTTACATCTAGAAACAGTGCCATCATTTCCATAAATCCAGCTCTTAAGACATCTCATTCCTACATTAGAATCTTTATAGAACTGCATATATCCATGTTTGAAAAGCCTTTTCGGGATACTGGCAAAGTCTTAAATGTATGTGTGCTTTCAAATAATTCTAACTGGATTTTAATATTCTTTCAGAGACCTGCGCTGTTAACAATGGAGGCTGTGACAGCAAATGCCATGATGCAGCCACAGGAGTACATTGCAGCTGCCCCATGGGATTCATGCTTCAGCCTGACAGAAAAACTTGCAAAGGTAAGTAGCAACCAGTCTAGATCAATAAATGGACCTGATGCTGAGAAAAGGATACGCCTGTGTCCTCCGGCTGTTATAAATGTTGGGGGGATGAGAAGGGACTTGGGAGAGCCAATTAGGTTCACATTTCTTAAGTCATTCTTGTGTATGCATTGACAGTGTGTCTTACATAAGCAAAGCAGTGGCACTCAAGTAACTAACATTATACATATCTCAGCTTTTATATATGGCACTGATTATCACATACACCACTTTGTCCACAGTCACAATTCAAAACATTGTTGGTTACTTTTAAAGACCTGAACAGTTTAGGTCTAGGATATTTTAGGACATGGTCCTTTGAAAACAGCCTGTGTGCAGTTTACAATATGGTGGAGAGATACTTTTCTCTATCCTGACTTTTATGGAAGGTCAGTTGATAATCTACCTCTGTTATTATACCCGAGAATAATGGAATTATTTGTATTTTAGGCACAGTAGTTTGCTGTATAAAAACTTTTTTCACCAGGCTTTTGTTCAACCAGGTAAATAATTTTCCTTCTATTTAATTGTCTCTTCATAATGTTATTTCCACAAAACATTCCATGGGTAGGCATAGGAATGTCCAAATCCCACCTCCCTCTCTCAGTACTGATGGGTATGAGTTGGGGGCACTGTTCTATAGTGGTTCCACTTCTTTCTAGGCAGGTGGTTGCAGTCAGTCTGGAGTGGAGAAGAGGTATTTTGTGTTTTTCCTATCCCAGTCTTACATCCTTACCGTTATACTACACTGAAACTTGCTAACAGTGAAGATGCACTGATGTGTGGGTATAATACATTTAGCTACTTAAATCCAAGCTACATTTGTCAAAAGGATGGAGCAGAAGCACTACATATAATAATCCACCCCTTGCAGAGCTTGGGCTACTACTTGGGCTTCAGTTATCTATGAATTTTATGAGTTGGTTGTGCATGAGATGACTACCCTTCCTCTTTCAAAACTACTTACTATCTGGCTTTTCTTCCCGACATGTATGCTAGTGGCCAAAACTTTTCTACGCCAGGCCATCTGCCAGTATAAATCTACAAATCTGATTGGGTTACTGTTTCAGTAAAGCAATGCACATATACTAAGGTTGGTACTCTTTTGGGACAACCACATTCATGAAACAGCATCTCCTTTCACATATCTCAGTTGCTCCTCCTCTGTAAGTAATTGTAGCTGACTTTCCATGGTATAAGGGTATTTTGAAGTACAGTCCCTACCTTGGCTTCCCAGCTAGAATATATACTGCAGCTGAGAGTACTGTATGAAATGCCACTGCTTGTATCTCTTGAACATTTTGGCATCATTTCATTAACAAACAGCACAGTTCCCTCATTTGATTATGACACTGTGAAAGTGGGAAATCGCTGCTAATTTGGAGACTGAGCACAACTTTGTTCTTCAGTTCTCTTATGCTCCAGCTACCCATCTATTTTATAAATACACAGATACCAGTTACCTTTTCTCACAAGAGAAATGTTAGCTTAAAAAAAATCACAGGAAGTTAGGACTTCTGGACATTAAGCTACGTCTACTTCTAATATTTGGTGAAAATACAAATCAGCATATGAACCTCACCCAAGCTATTTTATTATCATAAGATACTGTGCTGTTGGTGATGGATGGGCACTAGATGAGTTTTGCATTAAGAGAAAACTGTGAACTTTTTTCAAAAAGAACAATCTGGAAAAGTTTGTGGAGAAAAAAGGTGAGACTTCACAAATGGATGGTGTCTGTGTTCTGTCTCTGGCAGCTCCAGGGAATGTGACCTTAGTTAAAAGTAAAAAACAGCTCTTCTGCTGAAAGCTGTCTAACCAGCTTACTGATTCCAGACTTCATTTGTTTCATTATTATTTTTCAGAGCTCACTGCCTCTAAGATGCTGGAATTCCAGGAAAACATAATAACCCAGAGCTGTATTCTCTGTGTCTGGGATTTTATTACTGTTCAGAGCTATTTTATTGCTAATACATGTCAAAGATAATAACAGTAACAACAACAACATTTACAATTCATTGTGCTTGCTGAGGTTGGTTAGGTTGGGGCAAGACAAGAGAACAATTTTAGATGATGTCTGGCTGAGCTTGTTTTCTGGGATTCATCAGCTTTTTACAGACCATTTCTTAGCAGTAAATTTTCTGACATGTGCCACAAGTAAAAATGTTTCTTTACAGATAGTAGGAACTTTTTGAGAGTTTAGGGAATTAAGTGAGGCAGAGAATATGGTCTTTCTACATTTTTGGCAAAACAATCAGATCGTAATTTAAAAAATAAATAAATAAATAAATAAATAAGTGTGTGTGTGTATGTATATATGTATATATATATATATTTCAATGTTTGGTTCCCCAAAGATAATTTCCTCTTCTACTGTACTTATTCTTTATACAATATTCCCCATAGTTTTGAATTTGTCTGAAGCCACTCTCCTATTTCATTCAAGCATTGATTTTTATAATCTTCAGTCTTCAAGGATATTCTTAATAGGAGTTATAAATACCGAGCAGTTTCCAAACACATACTCATTCAGGTCTCATACAGACCTTGTAGCTGTGATATTGAGTCTAAGGCAATCTTTGGCCATGCCTTTATCTCTTCATGACTAATGACTTCCTGAACAACTTAGTCAAATTACTCTTTCTTTAGAGCAATCTTGCCCTCATTAGCTTTGAAATATGTCAGGACTACAACTCTTAAAATCCCAATAGTTGGATTTTTATTCCCAGCTCATCCAGAAGACACCAAGTGAGGGAAAGGTTTTTAAAGCAATGCTATAGAAAATCAGCACATTGTGAGTAACCAATGCAGGATAGATAATTTTAACAAGATTGTATTTTGAACAATTACAGTTGAAATGTGGTACAACATGCATACATTATTTTATCAATAATTTTACATAATCTCTTTTCAGAACCATTTCCCTGTTTGTTTCCACTTTTCTAGGGCATTTTCTTTTCTTCAGACATGTTTTGTGTAGAACTTTTATAGGACAAAAATGAAATATTATGGTCACTTTTCAGATGTTGCATATATATGGCTTGCTTTGCACACAGGATCTGAATGTGTGTGCCAAATTGTTCTTCATTACCTCCTTCAGCAAGTTGTTCTTTTCCTTGATCCTATACCATTCCTTGATCCTATACCTTGATCCTATAGTTTGCTCAATAGCCAAATTATTTTTGGAGGGTCTCTTCATTATTATTGTTATTAATTCAATTTATATCCCATCTTTCTATCCAAAGGACATTTAAAGTGACTGTTAGTATTTGACATCTAAGAGATAGACATAACCAAGTGAGCTTTTCAGCTTTAATTTGTTTGCAATTTGTGAGAGACCAGCTACTGCCAGGCAAGTTCAGTAACCTCTCATAATGAGTTGTTCAAGAGGGTGCCCTAAAAAGTAATTCTAAAATTACAGCTAAATTTAGAATATAATCACTTGGCTCTTGTTTGAAGTTAATTGTCAGACAAATAAAACATTGGTTCTTTGTTGTCTTCAGTGCTACCTTGTGCTACCCATTTAAAAATGATATAGATGTCAATAAATGAGAGGTGTCAGTAGGATCACATACTATCTGGAAGTTCTGCCTTCCCAGTAAATTATCACAGCCCATTCAGTGGATGCTTTCAATTGCTTACTGAAAACTTCTCTTTGAAATCAAGCTTTTCCTGGCTTTTGAAAGTGATGATTCCTGTATGTTACTGCTGCTTCAAATTGTTTTAATTTTTAAAAGGTATATCATTTCATTAATCTTTGTGTGATCTTATGTTCATTTAACTGTTATAAACAGGCTTTGTGTCAGAAAGATGTGATACATATTGCAATAAATAATTCTACGTAGTCACATTTGTATAGTCTACAAAACTTTATATTTACATTTTATTATAATTAAAGCTTTTCCCCAACATTAACCCTATAAAGTATGCTGGGTTGAGAGAGAATGAGAGTCACTCAGGGAGTTTAAATAGCTCATGATGATTTGTACCTGGGTCATCCCAATCTTAGGACCAACACACCACTATATTACAGTCCTCTTCTTTCTCTCTTTCTTTCTCTCTCCTGCATTTCCTTACATGGGGATCTTAGAAATTATGAATTTTTCCCAAACACAACTGCTCAGTATCCTTAGAAATACCCAAAACACTAACAAAGCTTCAGAAGCACTCCATTTTGGATTTAATCCATGTTAAAAGAAACTGTCCAAGTCAGTTTAGCTTGGTTTGGGTGTTAGCCAGATCCAATGCATACCTTTATCTGGATTATCATAAAATTTCAAGCAGTACAGGGTGATTGGGTAACAAAAACCTAATCTGTAAGTACCCTACAGCATGAGAAATTATGGGCACACATCAAATTTAGCATATAAATTGAATCTGAACCAGAAATCCAAGCCATTTGTTCAGTTCCTTTTCTGTTGAATCATCCTTTATGGCATTCATTTGATTGTCACTTTTTTTTTTTTTTTTTGGTAGCTAAGCATGTTTTGCTCTGTGTTTTTTTCTTCTCATTACAGATATAGATGAATGTAGATTGAACAATGGTGGCTGTGACCACATCTGCAGGAACACAGTCGGCAGTTTTGAATGCAGTTGTAAAAAGGGATATAAATTGCTTATCAATGAAAGGACATGCCAAGGTAAAGTCTTCTCATATCATGCTGGAAATAATAATGAAGCAGTTATTTGAATATGAAGATTTAGGCATAGAACTAAATCACATACGAAGCACTCTCAATTTAATTTCTGTTTTGATAGTCAACATTGAAAACAGCTGTCTATGAGGTTTGGATTTCAATGTTTCATAGCTTTGAGTTTGCTGTGTGCTATTTTATATAATATTAACTTAAGAATGTAAGACTGGCCCTGCTGGAGCAGGTCAATACTCATCTTAGTCTAGCATTTTGTTTCTTATAGTAGCCAACTAGATTCCTCTAGGGTGCTCACAAGCAGAAAATATTTACTGTTGTTCCCTTGCAATCTACTATTTAGTGGTAGAGTGCCCTCAGTTTGGATGTAACACTGAATCTTGACAGATGTGTTATAATAATGTCCTTGTTGTCCAAATATTTATCCCTTCTCCTTTTAAAGCCATCCAGGATAGCGGCCCTCATAATTTCATGGGAAAATTATATTCTGTGTGAAAAAGTGCTTTTTTGGGTCTGTTTTAAATTTACTTCCAACTGGCTTCATTGGGTGACCTCTGAAGCCAGTATTTGAAAATGCTACCCATCTTCTCCATGCCGTGTGTAATTTTATAGAACTTGATCACGTCCCCCCTCAGTCATTCTTTTTCCAGTCTAGAGAATCCTAAATATTTTTGCCTTTTCTCATAGGAGAAATATTCAACCCTCCTGGTCATTTTGGTTGAATAAGGGTTAACAACGTTGGGAATTTATTTTCATTCTCATTCTTAATGACTGTCCCATGGAACTTGTCTTTTGCACAGTTGTCACACACTATCCTCATTATTCACTATAACCCCAAGACTTTTTCCAGGTTAGTTACAGGCAGCTCAGACTTCATCAGTGTACATGTAAAGTTAGGATTTTTTGCCTCAGCATACATCATTTTGAAATGATCATTCATCTAGCTTAGAGATCTTCTGGAGCCCTTCATAATCACTTTTTTACCATCCTGAATACTATTATCTGCCAATTTGGAAGTTCATTGTATACCCCTAAGTCAAGATCATTTATGAATAAGTTAGGAAACACAGATCCCAATACAGTCTTGTAAGGCTTCCACTTCCCCCATTGAGAAAATTGTCCATTTATTCCAACATAAACATTCTTTTCATTCCTTTTTCTAATGCTTTGACTTGTTTTCTGATTAAAATATAAAGAACTTCTTAATATTTCCCCTTAACAACCACCACCACCCTTTTCCTCTGTTGTTGAAGAGCCAGATTTTGAGAAAGAGGTTTAACTATGGGGATCAATGTGGCAGTTGTGAATTCCCCTTAGCAACGTTATATGAGGAGAGAGATGAGGAGCCAGGGCTTCTGGGATTAGCAGCCACTAGGAGGGGAATTCCCTGCCAGAAGTACAGGAGATGTGTCCTTTGAATTACACTTCTAGTGATGTGTCTTAAGCCAGGGAGAAACTATTCAGTTTCAGGGCTTCATATTCTCAGTGTTGCTCATCAACATGACCCTGCATTGCCTACATGCAGTAGCAGGATAATAGGGAAAACACAATTTCTAGCACAGAGTGCCAAAAGCCAGCCTTGGGCTGCCTCAGCTGCAGATGGATGATGGGATACAGAAATGTTTTCTAGATATGGATAGTGGGCTGTCCTCATGTCCTCACACAGGACATGTGTGAATTTGCCCTCAGTCTTCTTTTTTCACCAGCACCTTCACCAGCACTTTCACCAGCTCCTTTTCAGAAGTTTTTAGTTTTGCAGTCAAATGCAACTGTGTTGGACCCTCTTGGCAGTTTCACATTTGCACATATGCTAATGCAACAGAATTGTGGACATTGTATCCATTTGGTTTATAACCTACTTTGTACCTATCACAGTTACCACTTAGGATTAAATTTAGGGTTGTGTTGTTTTTTTTTAATCCGCACTCAGTTGTTACCGACTCTACGGTGACTGCTTGGACGAGTCCTTGCAGTTTTCA